AGACGATATGACATTCTGAGATAAAAGAATGGCATATATATAGATTATAACCAGAAAAAAGATCCTCTTTGATTTGGATCAGTTTTAAAGACTTTCGAATGAAGGAAAACTCTTATTTATTTGACTATACTCAAACAAAGATTCTGTAGGTGAAATTTATTTTGGAAATAAAAAACGAACTTGAATTCACTCGTGATTTTTTGTAAATTTGATATAAATAATATGTATTACTCTATTTAGTTAACAACAAACCGCTTTTTTATATTGTGATCGTATAGATCTTGATTAGGAGCAAAATATTATATTTCCTTATAGGATTGTTGGTGTATATATTGGTTTATTTTTGTAGGATCCTTTGATGTATGTATCAGTTTAAATTATATCGTGAATGAGTGTAAATTATTTAATTTCCTATTATTAATCAATCAAATTGCATGAACGTGATTTATTTTATTCTCGAACTTTTAATTTCACTTGCCGAAATCGATTCACGTATGAATTAAATTAGAAAATTCGAATAAGTTAAGAAATCTGATCTGATTTAAATAATTAGGATTCACGTATGAATTAAATTGGACTTTATGTGGGAAAACGGTTAAGCCCAAATCTAGAGAATCAGTAATGGATTTCAATTAAATTAAATTAGACAATTCCGAAGAACTAGTAACGAATTAAATTGGAATTGTTATTCCTACACGCACGGAACTCGCATCCAAATTTTTTGAAATGGTTATTCCTACCCTGCATGGAAATCGCATCCAATTGTTTTGATAAATTAATCCGCACAACAGATCGCATCCAATTGTTATTCCTACACTATACGCATGGAATTCCACCCACGATTTTAGGATTCCAAATTTAAATCAAATTAAAGAATTAGAAATGGAATTCAAAAAGTTTTTACGAATTGAAGAAGCGGGAAAAACACTATATTCAAGCGAGAAAACGAAATGATTTTTTTTCTGATTATTCAAATAATTTTTCTTCTCCGTATTATATAGTAATAGATTTTAAGAATTATGAATTCAAATACTATTTCAATCTCGTGAATTGATAATATTTTGCTTGATGCAATTGATTTGCAACTTTACTTTTGATTCTGCACAATTTAACAAGAATTCAAAGGCATGGGAGATGTGATTTACACTATTAATGGTATTGTCTACAAATAAAATTAACCATTATGTATCACGGAATCATTCTCTAATTATTATTAGCCTTTATATACACATGTAGATTAATGTAGGATAGATATATTTTATGGTTAAAGGACGGAATCATTTTGTGATGGGACAGTAATCATTTTCCATTCTAATATTACGATGTGAGCAACTTTTGATTTTGAGAAGCAGTTTGTTGTAAAAGTATAGAATTGAAGATGTGGAAGAAGAAGCAATGAAATTCGAAGCATGAGTACTAGGGAAACAACGTCTCTAGCAGCAATGACTAAAATGTCGGCACATGAGACGATGTCGGGGCATTGAGCCTTTACAGCTCATTTCACCCTTAAAATGGTGTCGAAGCCCTGTGGGTCGAGGGAAAGATTGTCCGCAGCATCCCTTTCAGCATCCTTATTTGGCGATGAAATGAGAATCGAGGCATCACATCCCTGCAAATTAATCAAATGAGAGACGATAAAAAAAAAAAAATCAGACAAATCGCTTGGCGAAAGCGGATAAGTAAATTAATTTACTACATGAGTTAACTAGTGACTTAAGCAAAGTGACCTCGACAAAGCAGTTGTGGAAAATGAGACGGAGTGTGGCTGGAATCGCAACATACGACTTGTTTGCTTTTGACAACATTGCACGACGGACAATGACCTCGACATCTGGGCAAGTTGACTGATAAAAATTGTCCATCAGTTGCCCTTCTCCCTTCATAAATAAGATTAACATCAACAAAGGGAACAAACTTATGCAATGTTTGTCCATTAGATCACACAACTTTTACGGTTCAATTACTCATTCGCTCACTCATTTATGTATTGTATGAATTGCTTGTCTAAATTTCTGGTACATGTTAAGTGAGAGGTGTAATAATATTTATATTATTCTATTATTGTGGACCATATAATTAGTTGGAGCTAGTTGAATTAATAGTCAAACTTATTTAAGGTGAATATGTATTTAATGGATTATTTAATGTTCTAATATTAAAGAGTCCAATTTGTGATGTTTGACTTGAACAGTAAGTTATGTTAGAACATGGGGAATGTTAGTAGAAATAGGTTTGTAGGACTCCTCCTATATATACTACATATCCCTCTCTCCCATCTCATACGAAATAAAGTTTTCAAGGCTTTGTGAAAAGACGAGAGAAGCGGGAGAGAAAACAGAGAGAAGCGGGAGAGAGAACAGAAACACACGATTGGCAATAGACATACAAGAAAACAGTGAAGGACTAATGAATTCTTGTAAGTTTTTATGTGCAATTTAATTTATGCAAACAATCTATATTCTATAAATTGATAGAATTACATGTTTAGAGTTTATTCAATTCAGCCTGATAGCTATAAGTATGTCTTGTTAAATTTTTTTACAAGAGGTTATAATTAATATAGTAGGCAATAGCTAGGACAATGGCTATAAGATTTGATATCGTTATATACAAAGTAGTTATACTTGCTCCATATAACAAATGAACCTGGAAATATGCATGACAAGCGTGTCCACACAATTGTCCGCCAAGAATTGCAGCAAAATCAAAATTACTGAATTTATAGACTATATTGTGCTGTTACTGCTGTAAGACTGAAAGTTACCAAACGTTTTAATATGCAGCCATAATGTTGCAACTAGTGCGGGTACATATACTTTTTGGTAATAATAATTATAATATAACACGTGTTAAGAAATTGTTTTAATCTATAACCTTGAAGGTTATCTTTTATTTTATTTCTTATCATCTAGCATAGTTCATATTTCTAGAGGTTTATAAGTTTCGTATATATATTTTATTCATATGTTTGAAACTTTTTTATATACCAAACGACTTTTGCAACGTGTCTATTATATCTATATCTATATATAAAAAGATTTACTATTTATCATAAATAGTAAAAAGTAAAAGTCAACACATATTAATTACATACTATTTTCAGCTATTTTTTATTTTATGTTTTAATTCATTTCCTAAAAAATCGGTTGGTCTTAAATCGGTTATTTTTTAGCTATTTTTTATTTTATGTTTTAATTCACTTCCCAAAAAATCGGTTATTGTGTATCTAATTTACAGGCACGGATAATGTATGAGTTTTAGATCAGAACATAAGCTACTTTAGATTATAATATCATATCTTATTTTATAATTAAATATTAAAAATGGGTCATATTATAAATCAGGCATAAATTTTATGTCTTCTCCTTTTTTATTCAAAAAAACTAATTGCAAAGAAAATGGAATGTAATATTTAATTGATAATTTAAAATTCTAAATTTCTTGCCACTCGATTGTCATAAAATCGGATAATAAATAATCGCATATAATAGATGTAAAATGTGGCTCATCTACAATTTGAATTGGAAAAAATCAAATCACATATATTTATATAATTGAACAACCTAAAATTAAGGAATTTTTTTCAAATTCCAACAGATCTTGAATTTAATATCAAATCAACTTCATAATTTCACATAGTTCGGACTCTTTTGAAGTATTCCAAAAATTCAGATATCTCCAAATTTTGATTTCAAATTTACTATTATCTTGGAAATAGATAGAATATCCTTTTTTATAAGGAGTCTTTCTAAAGAAGAATTTGATTTACTTCATTCTCTTTGTCATAATTGATGAATTTTTCATGCTATTTTTTTTAATAGATACAAGATGAATTTGCTCATCTCGGACTCTATTGCAAATGCCACTATTGTTCTTTGGGACAAAGAATCAGAGATCATAATTGGAAAATCATGCCATCCTTTTATAACATGTTTAATAATTTATAGATACTTATATATCATTTTATTAATATTTATGTAAATAAAATAATATTTTATTATAATGTTATTAATGTACAGTAAATATAAGGTTTTTAGAATCGGACCCTCATCAAAACATTCAAAGTTATTTTATTATATCATTTGTGGTTGGTTTAGATTTTAATTTATAAATATTTTATAATTACTTAAATATCTAAACAATTTATAAATTCAAATGTTTAAACTAATTGATAAAAAGTTTATAAATCTCTATTTTATTTAAATATGTAATTTTATTTAAAATAATTTTAAATGTAGCAAAATCTATTTAGAAAATCGTATCGATCCTACCAGTCCAACCGAGCGGTGAGGATTCGATAACAAAAATTTTATTCAAGCGAACTAGACTGGTTATAAACCGGTTCCCGGTCCATCCGGTCGGACTGTGTCCAACCCGATTTAATTTAAAAATAATAGGTAAATCATGATTAATGTTACTTATATATTTAATTTATAATACAATTGTAATGTTGTTTTCTCGTGCATCGGGCCACGTACTAGTTTACAATATATCAAATGAAGAAATTGTCTCTACGGCCACGCAAAACGTGTGTGTTATATTAATCTTAGAGAAAAAGTAAAAACTTAGTCGTGATCTTATAAATATCTAAAATTTCAACCCAATTATAATATTCATTCAAGAAGCCCATAATCACGCCAAGTTAGAAAATTATGCAATTACTTTACAAATCCTACTTTATTTGCACATTTATAAATTTCTTTTATCGTAAATATAGTAATTTTTACACTTTATAAATAATTGATTTGTGTTTTATTTTTATAATTAGTTCCTAATTTACACTATTTTTAATTTGTAATTTACGAATGATTTTTTTTTATAATTTTCTTTTTTGAAAAAGCACATTAAGTGATTAAACATGTAAATTATCATATTATCTCACATCTGTCTGAGTCCAATATTTAAGAAAGGTACAATATTATGTAGCCCAATTTACAAATTCTTTGTTTTATATATAATCGGCCCATTTCATCTCTTTTCGCGATAAAGAAGTGGGCCTAAAAATCGCCAATCTGTAATCGTAGTTGCCGAGGAGTTGGAGAAGAGAGTAGGAACATTTTCAAATTACAGAAAACTGAAGAAATGGCCATGGAAGTTGAAGAGAGAGCAGCTGGCTCGAACTTTTCTTGTTGGCCTATACGACGACGCTTGGGACCAGATGCCCCCTTGTTCGCAGCTGGTAACATCGAAAGAGAACTCCTCGCGAAACAGGTATGACGCAGGTTTATGCGCCTTGTGACCCGATTAGATTCATACTTCAAATGTGTCAATTGAAATGTGGATTTTATCTGCCGATTTGTATTTGCTTTTTAATTTTATTTTTTCGGTTTTGACTTATTGAAGTAGAAGCTGAGTGAATTGATATTTAGGTTGGTTTCAATTTCTGGAAGTAGATGATTTGGTTCGACCGGTGTTTGGTGAAGATTGGTTCGACTGTTCAAATTTTCCGACTGATTAAATCCATTTTTGGGTGTTAAATCTTGTTTTGAGCTCTGCAGTCTTTTCTTTTGAAATTCTGGTTTAAGGGAAAGAAACTAATTTTCTTTAATTTTAAACTATAGATATTAGGGCGGCCAAGTATTTCAGTTCAGCTAAGTGATCATAAAATACATTAACATTTTGGGGAAGGAAAAGACTAAATTTATCTTAACCAAGGAAATGTTAAGGTGCTGAAGTAGATGAGGGATGAAATGCAGTAACCACTATAATGTACCGACATAATTAGGAGATCGTGTGTTAATTTTTATATTTTCAGTTTGTTCTAACAGGTAAATTTGGATGCATTTTGTCACAGAAAGGCTTTTTATACTGTTCCTCATGGAGTCAGATTCCTTGCGATGTAGTTGTATGAAAACTCTAATTGTTTATATAATACAATCAGATCTTTTTATCTGCAAGTGTTGAGAAAGGTCGTGCAATATATTTTTTTCGAATAGGGTGAGTGACTTCCAAACACTGTAGTCATTGTGCTCAACACCTTAGACGGCAGAAAATTATAAGCTATACATATATTTTCAACAGTAACCAGTAAGTTCTGGCTGACTAGACTGTTCTTTTGAGACCTGCAGTACAAGAATTCCTCCTTAGTTCAAGAGAAGTTACTGGCAGCATTGAAATCATTGTGGAGATAAGAGCCCTGAGATTAATTGCCCCTAAAAAACCACGGTTTTGATAGAGGCTGCTATGAAAATAAGAGATTGATGATTTGCACCATTGTATATGATTTTTTTTTATGGTTCTCCTTAGTTCAAAGCTGTGGTAACTACCGTGGGATTAAGTTGATGAGTCATACGATGAAACTCTGGGAGAGGGTTATCGAGCATCGCCTACGACGAGTGACGAGTGTGATCCAAAACCAATTTGGGTTTATGCCTGTAAGGTCGATCATGGAGGCGATTTTCCTAATACGACAGTTGACGGAGAGATATAGGGACCAAAAGAAGGACTTGCACATGGTCTTTATCGACCTTGAGAAGGCTTATGACAGAGTACCGAATAATGTCATGTGGTGGGACTTAGAAAAATACAAAGTCCCATCTAAGTACATTACCCTCATCAAGGATATGTACAAGGATGCGATGACGTGTGTCCGAACATGTGGGGGCGATACCAGCGACTTCCCAATTAAGATAGGACTACACCATTGAGCCCTTATTTATTTGGCTTGGTGATGGATGAGGCCACAAGGGACATACAAGGTGATATCCCTTGGTGTATGCTCTTTGCTGATGATGCGGTGCTAATTGACGAGAGTAGGGCAGGGGTAAATAGGAAGTTAGAGCTGTGGAAGGACACGTTAGAGTCGAAAGGCTTCAGACTTAGTAGGACGAAGATCGAGGACATGACGCGCGCTTTCAGCATGGCTACACATAATGATGGTGACGTTAGCCTTGACGGGCAAGTGGTGGCCAAGAAGGAGACTTTCCGGTATTTAGGATCGATGCTACAAAAGGATGGCGGCATTGATGTTGATGTGAGGCATAGAATTGCAGCCGGTTGGTTGAAATGGCGTCAAGCTTCGGGCGTTCTCTGTGATAAGAGGGTGCCACAAAGGCTAAAAGGTAAGTTCTATAGGACGGCGATTCGTCCGGTGATGCTATACGGTGCTGAATGTTGGCCTACAAAAAGGCAACATGTCCAACAACTAAGTGTAGCAGAGATGCGTATGTTGCGTTGGTTCTGCGGGCACACAAGAAGGGATAGAATTCGAAATGAGAATATTTGAGATAGGGTCGGGGTGACTCCAATTGAGGAGAAATTGGTTCAACATCGGCTGAGGTGGTTCGAACATGTCCAACGGAGGCCTCCTGATGCACCGGTAGGGGAGTTCCACAGCCGGTCGATGATGTAAAGAGAGGTAGAGGTCGGTCTAAACTCATTTGGGAAGAGTCGGTTAAGAGAGACCTTAAAGATTAGAATATCTCCAAGGATTTAGCGGTGGATAGGAGCGATTGGAGGCTAGCAATCAACGTGCCAGAACTGTGACTTTTGCTCCTTTCTCTTTTTCTCCAATCTCTTCCTTTTGTTTTGCTCCTTTCTCTTTTGCTCCAATCTCTTCCTTTTATTTTGAGCCATTTTTGTGTTTTTCTTACCATTGGTTTTCTTGGGTTTCATCTCTAGCCTACCCCAACTTGCTTGGAACTAAAAGGCTATGTTGTTGTTGTTGTTGTTGTCGTCTTCTTCTCTTTGTATAGCTTATCCCCAGTAAACATATAGGTTTCTAATTTTTGTCTATACTTCATCCTGAACTTGGAAATAGAAAACACTTTCCTTGCATGATAGATGTGTGACTGTGTCTTTATATTACTTCATATCATCCAAGTGTACTAACCCACGGTTTTGTGAATAATTTCGAATGGTATTCAAACTGTTGGTGCCAAACTTTTGTATTTGTACTGTTTCTTTTTATATGTAGTGATAATTGCTAGAGAGTTTGAATAAGTGTAACTTAATTGTTCTCTAGGTCGCATTGGACATAACGGAAGAAGAAAAGCAACAGATAAGAGGTGTGGAAGATTGGGCAAGCAGGTATGAACAATTTTACCTGGCAGATTATTGTTGGGAATACTTATCGATTTGAATGGTGTATGATACAAATGCATGGCTTTACTTGAGACGAATGAGGGTATAATATTTAAGTAAAATTGTTGACAGAATTGCCATCTACCTCCACAATTTTACTTATTTTCTAATGTTTTAATCAGTGAAGTGTTTTGCCCAATTGTTGGTTGTGGAGCCCGCCTGAAATCTTTGGAGGACTTTGAAGATCACTATAACGCACGGCACACGGCATCTTGTTCTGTCTGCTCGCGAGTATACCCAACATCTCGTCTACTCAGTATACATGTATCTGAAGCTCATGATTCTTTCTTCCAAGCAAAAGTTGCCCGTGGCTTTGCCATGGTAAATTCTTGAACTCAATTCCTTGGTTAAGCCAGTTCAAGACTAAAGTCTTAAAACATAAATTTCCTTCAAAACGTCTTACATTTTCAAACAAAAAAGATAAAAGGAAAAAAATAGATGTATACTAAATTCTTGATGCATTTTTGTGTTTGTTAGTACGAATGCCTCGTTGAGGGCTGTAATGTGAAGCTAAAGAATTACAAGAGCCGGCAGCAGCATCTCGTGGACAAACACAAATTCCCATCCTCGTTCGAGTTCTTTAAGAAGGCTAAGCCCTCGAAAAAACAAAGGCACAAAGTGCTGCAACATAAACAAGCATCACACGACACACAGAACACAACATCGACAAAGATGCAAGTCGACCAAGAAAACATAGACAGTCTTGTTTCGGCAGTCTCTAAGCTAAGCACTTCAGATTCTCCTTCATCAGTCAGTTTCGGCAGGCGCCACAACAGAGGCATTGCTTTCGTTCCTCGAGCTGTTCAGAAAGAGAGGAAGCCTGGCCTGGGCTTTTCAACGGAGCAGGTAAAAAGATAGCTTGGAAAATCTTATCAAATGGAGGACATGTATGGAGTCGGATAGCGTTTGCATGAGGTGGCAGTCTTTTTTCGATCTTATCGAGAATTTCTGCATGTTTTAGAAGAAGGTTTTACTGGTATAAGATTTTACTGACGGGAAATTTTTATATATAAAAAACAAAAAAAAACAAGTGGACAAAAATAAAAGCAAAAAAAAAAATGTGGACCAAAATCAAAAGCCCGTATTCTCATAATACGTTTTTTTTATAAATTTTTTTTTTGAAAAACGTATTATGAGAATACGTTTTTTCAATGTAAATTACATGCAAAACGTATTCTCATAATATGTGTTTTTGATGTTTTTCCACAACTTTTTTTTTTTTTGTTTTGTTCTTGTCCAGTTAACTTGGATTTTTGTTGTTGGGGTAAAAAAACCTTTTACTGTGAGAATATGTGAGAATATATTGTCACGATTGATTTTGTGAAGAAGCTTTTCAATTCGCATTTGTTTGAATCTACGCTTGATTTTGATCGTTAACATATATATTGTTTGGAAAATGCTACAAGTACATAATATACAAGTACATAATACATAGAGATGTACATAACACTCACATGGAGTGAGGTCCACTTGATTTTTTATTTTTGGTAGGTCCCAGTCAATGTGAGTGTTATGTACACCTTAACGTACAATATTATGTACCTATAGCATTTCTCATATTTTTTTTTCTCTCTCGTAAATCATCAAATGAACTAATTCTGCGATGATGTTGAAAACAATCATTTTTGTTTTAAAATTTCTAATCTTTTGTTTGCCTTTTTTTTTTAATGATATTGTCAGTATTTTTATTTCTGGTTTGAAGTATCTAGCCAAAGCAAATGCAAGTAATCAGCTAGATTTAAAAAGAGAAATGAAAGGAAAAAGTGTTATAATGTAGATTGTCTCAATATCTATATCTATATAATAAGAATTACTGTTTATCAAAAATAGTAACCCAAATTTTCAGACAACATTAATTGCTTACTATTTTCGGATTTTTTTTTTTCTTTTTTGAACATTAAATCAGCCACCGTCAACAAAATCACACAACAATGCATTTGAATTTGAATTGAAATTTTGAAACACAATCCTTCTTATATTTGTTTTGCCACGAAATCGGAATCAATCCAAAATTCCTCCCTAAAATTAAGTATTTTGTTCAAATTGATTTGAAAAATATCTTATCACATGCACTATTGTTGGTCGGCCAAATAAAATTATTCCTTAAAAAAAGACATTTGCACTATTTTAATTTAACAAACTTCTTGATAAATATCCAATCTATACTTATATAATAAGATTTACCATTTATCAAAAATAGTAGGTCAACTCTTTAGTCAATTTCGGACATAATTAATTAGTTTCCATTAATGGCAATTTTTTTTTAAAAAAAAAAATTCCGGACAGCACTAATTAAATGCAGTCCAAATGAGTTTGTTACATTATACGGGCAAAAAATACGGCGAGTTAATTTTTGGGAAAAGTTTGAAATTTGTGATAGGATTTAAATTGATTTGCCGGATATGGTTATCTGATATTACTATAAAAAACGTGTGCAATCAAGTCTCTTATTTATTTACAAAATAAAATACACGTGTTGAATGTTTTTTTAAGATTAGTCAAAGTAAAACAGATTCACGTATGAGTCTCGAAATTTTTTAAAGTTGATCTGTATCAAATCCACGTAGAGTTGGTAATCAGAATTTGATATGATATGAAACTTATTTTTTGTTGATAAGAATTTTTTTTTTTATATTGTAACCTTTTAATGTTGAACACGGTAACATATATATTATTGCGATAATTACCTAACATATAATATCTTATGAGGGTTTTTTATTCTGAAAATCTCTACACAATTAGAGTTATAATTTGACATAACATCTATCTATACTTATATAATAAGATTTACCATTTATCAAAAATAGTAGGTCAACCCTTTGGTCAATTTTGGACATGCTTAATTAGTTTTCATTAATGGCAAATTATTATTTTTTTTTAAATTTCCAGACAGCACTAATTAAATGCAGTCCAAATGAGTTTGTTACATTATACGGGCAAAAAATGCGGCGAGTTAATTTTTGGGAAAATTTTGAAATTTGCGATAGGATTTAAATTGATTTGCCGGATATGGTTATATGATATTACCATAAAAAACGTGTGCAATCAAGTCTCTTATTTATTTACAAAATAAAATACACGTGTTGAATGTTTTTTTAAGATTAGTCAAAGTAAAACAGATTCACGTATGAGTCTCGAAAGTTTTTAAAGTTGATCCGTATCAAATCCACGTAGAGTTGGTAATCAGAATTTGATATGATATGAAACTCAATTTTTGTTGATAAGATTTTTTTTTTTTTTATATCGTAACTTTTTAATGTTGAACACGGTAACATATATATTATTGCAATAATTACCTAACATATAATATCTTATGAGGGTTTTTTATTCTGAAAATCTCTACACAATCAGAGTTATAGACATAACATCTATTGGTTGGAAACAAATCCAATTTATACGGAATTCTAAAATTAAACATATATATTTTATAATCAGTTATGATTTTTATATCGATACTTTTTATGTTTAATTAAATCTATCATTATATAAAAAGAATAACCTTTTTATAAATTTAGAAACTTTTTCCCGCCAAAATTATTAAATATATCCTAAAATATAGTAATTGTTGGACAATTGTGAATAGGCACAAAAACCGGCTCTTTAATTGTATTGTTTTCTTAATTCTAGCTTGCAACAATAAATCCGATTGGCTTTTGGTTTAAACTTTCCCACAAAAATCTCATATCATAAATCTACACGAGTTTATCTCTTATTTGTTATATTGCATACGTCTCACGAGTTTAAAAAATCCCATCTCTTATCTATAAAGATTTTAAAAAATAAAATAAAATAAAAACAAATTCATAATTACTACTAGAAATCTATTATCTACTTTAAAAGGCTAATTTTCATCGGTCTAACTATTAATATTTTTACAAATATTATAAGCTAACAATACATCCTCGATAACAACGTAAAAAAATATAATAACAATTGTGTGTAATCAAATATTTTTTTAGACGGAAGTAACGCCATAAATTCGTTATTATCTGACATAATGTCTTTATTAAATTATGCTCATAATATTTTAGATAATTTAAATGAATTATTTAGATATTTTTTTACATATTCATCTATATATACATATACACATACATAATTGATGTTAAATTTAAATATTTGTAAACATGTTTTCCTTACAAAATAGTCTAGAAAAATATTTTTTACGTCATGTTAAATTCAAATGTTTTTAGATATGTTCCTTCTAATAGAAAAATTGTAGGTGACTTCACATCTTTCAAAAATAATATAGAGAATTTTGATTACTCTTACAAATACTAATATAATATTTTAGGTATTTTTAATGTTAAACATACATTTTATATTCTCTTATACAAAATAATGTAAATTTTATATTCTCTTATACAAAATAATTTTACATTGTTTGACCCTGAATCTTTAATTTATAATTATTAAGTATTGTTTATCCTTCTCTTTAATTTATAATTATTTTTTTCTTCCTCTTTTTAAATAAGATCAATGGTAGTTTCCACTTCGACCATTGAGTGACTCAAACTCGGGATTTATTTATAATATTGTTAATTTAATATTGTTCTCGTGCATCGCACGGGGTACACACTAGTTTAAACTTATATTGTTTCCAACTGTTGGGACTCTTTTTGTTTTCAGATTTTAATAATTTGATTTGACATCTATCATTATGATTTGTATATTATTTTTTAGAGTTAATTAAATATAAAATTATATTGTTGTTTCCGTTTGTTGGGACTCTTTTGTTTTCAGATTGTTTTTAGGATAGTTTAAAGAAACAAATAAATCCCTTATATGAAATGATTTACTACTTCAAAATACAAAATATTCAAACTATGTTGAACGATTCTGTTGAAGCATTCTAAATAATTTTAATAATAAAAAATCCTGATTTGTTGAACAATTTTTTTGGTACTAATTAAACATAAAGATACATTATTCACTTTTCTAAAACTCATTTTTTTTTTTTTTTAGTTTTTCCCTTAAGAATCGGTTTCACATTATTATCAGCCATCAGAATCTATACATATATAATAAGAATTACGATTTAAGAAAAATGGCAGGTCAACTATATGGTCAACTTCTCCCATCGTTAATTATTTTCCATTATGGGTAATTTTTTTTTTGTATTTTAAATATTTCACGGATAACATTAATTAAATATAATCTGTATGAGTTTGTTACATTGTACAACCAAAAAATGCGGCTGAACTTATTATTTTGGAAAATATCCTGTTTGCGAGATAATATTATTTTTTGAATTGTTTAAAGAAACAAAATCCATTATATGAAGAGATTTATTCACGTGTCAACTGAAATAAGGGCAAACAATCTATATATCTACATATCTACATAATAAGAATAACCATTTATAAAAAATAGTAGCAAAAAAAAAGTCAGAATTTAATGCAGTCCATAAATAGTAAGTTTTATTATTTTTCTTATTTTTTCTTTAAAATTTCATACAACATTAAATCCTACTTTAAATTTTGAGCTTTAGTTCATTTTATTATTTAAAAATTCGACCAAGATCTATTAACTGTGCATGTTTTGAATTTTATTTTATTTTTTTCTTAAAAACAACGAACAACATTAAAATCTCGGTCTCTATATTTATGGAATCTCGATTCAAAATATAACCAAAGTTTTAGAATATCGGTCTTTATATTTGTGCTTTTTTTAAAAAGTTTTAGAACCTCGATCTTTATATTTGTGCTAACAAAAAAATATTGAACGCTAAAATATTCTTTAAATTGCATAACCAATCAATCAATCTTAATTTTTTGAAAATTACTAATTTTATTTTTATTACTATGCATAAAATAAAAATAATTAATTCATCTTTAGATATATAATTTTTATCTTAATATACTATTATTTGGTGTAGACATTTACTATATGAATCATACAATATTTTATTTCATAAAATTAAATATATTTAAAGAAAATAAGGAAATTTCTTTGCATCAATCGGGTGATTGAATTAGGGTACTGCCCTGGTTGATTGAATTACTTTTAGGTGATACTTAAAGTTGTCAAGAAAACATGGCACAACTTGGTCTCAGGTGACTAAGTTATTTATCAGTTTGACCAGGCCAAATCAATTATTGAAGCTAAATATAAATTTTAATATTGAAAATACTTTATTACGTGAATGTTATATAGTCCAAACTTCAAATAATCATATTAACAATACTTTTATGACAACATATTTAATCATTTATGAATATTTATATATCATTTTCTTAATATTTATGTGAATAAAACAATATTTGATTATAATTTTTATTAATATACAGTAAACATAAGGTTTTCAGAACCGGACCGTCATCGAAATGATCAAGTTATTTTATTAAATCATATGTGGTTTGTTCAAATTTTGAATTTATACAAATTTTAATATATATATATATATATATATATATATATAGAGAGAGAGAGAGAGAGAGAGAGAGTACTTTTTGTAATAAATTTAAATAAAAGGTGTTACTTAAGTATCTAAACAATTTATATATTCAAATGTTTAAACTAATTGATAAACAATTTATAAATCTCCATTTTATTTAAATATGTAATTTTATTTAAAATAATTTAAAGGTAACAAAATTTATTTAGAAAATCGTATCAATCCTACTAGTCCAACCGGCTGGTGTTGACGGATTCGATAACAAATATTTTATTCAAGCGAACTAGACTGGTAATAACCGATTTTCGGTCCATCCAGTCGAACTATGTCCAATCCGGTATAACTTAAAAACAATAGGTAAATCATGATTAATATTATTTATATATTTAATTATAATACAATCGTAATATTATTTCTCCGTGCATCGCACGGGCCACGCACTAGTTTGTAGAAATAGATTAGGAATTTGAAATCAATTCAAAATCATCTATTCAAAATCATCCAAGGATTTAGTAGTGGATAGGGACGCTTGGAGGCTAGCAATCAACGTGCCAGAACCGTGACTTTTGCTCCTTTCTCTTTTGCTCCAATCTCTTCCTTTTGTTTTGAGCTTTTTTTTGTGTTTCTCTTACCATTGGTTCTCTTGGGTTTCATCTCTAGCCTACCCCAACTTGCTTGAGATTAAAAGGTTATCTTGTTCTTGTTGTTGAATATATAGATTGGACGAATTTAAAATCAATTCAAAAGTCCACATAGGACGAATTTCTACATAAAATATTTTTCAAAATTTGAATACTCTTTTCCATTATCAAAATTTAGAATAAAAATTAGATTAATGCCATTAAAAATCGGAATTCAAAATTTGAATACTCTTTTCCATTATCAAAATTTATAATAAAAATTAGATTTATGTGATTAAAATCGGAAGTATTCTTTAATTCACACGATCGATTGAAATCTAATTCAATACACATCTGTTGCCATTAAAAATCGGACCAATATTATTGTATTTTTTATTTCACACGAGGTAAATCATATCCGAATAGTTTAACATTGGGTTTTGGTTCTTACTATTGAAATAAGAAACCTGAAAAATTGGACCAATAATAATAGACAGCTCTTTATTCTATACAAGTCTGAAAAATCGGCCAATAATATTAGGCTACTCTTTATTCCATACAACGTAACATCCTAAAATGTTGGATTCTCCGAAATTTTGGGATTCAACTTTCAATTAAAATTCGACGTGGATTGCATACAATATGTCATCCAAATTCAAATTTCTTATACTTTAAAAACTTCCAAATTTTGGATTGCATACAATATGCTATCCAAAAAATTCGAATTTCTTATACTTTCAAAACTCCCAAATTTTGAAGGTGAGATAATATGTTAGGCTCATAATATTTAATATAGTTTTAAACATATTGTTTAGATATTTTTTTAAACATTCTATCTATATATACATTTACATATACACAATACATATACATATGTTCAATTTAAATATTTTTAGATATTTTTACAAAAATAAATTAGAAACTTTTAGATTGGCTTCACATCTTTTCAATAGTTTTAGACATGTCTTCTTTACAAAATAGTATAGTAAAATTTTAGGTGACTTAACATATTTCAACACTGATATATAAAATTTTAGATATTTTTACATACGTTATATAATATTTTAGGTACTTGTAATATTTTAACCATACATTTTTTTTATTTTTTTTATACTAGATAATTTTGTATTGTTTACAACTGATATAGGACAAATCATATATAATTATAGTTAATATTGTCTACCCTCACTTTTATTTATAATTATTAGTTAATATTGTTCACCTTTAAATTATAATTATTATTTACTATTGTTCACCCTTGCATCGCACGGGCAACACACTAGTATAAGATATAGATAAGAGAGAATTAAAATTTCTCTTATGCTTCGGAATTCTATTCGACAACATTTCATGGATTGTAACCCGAGAGCAGCTCTTCTAGATTGAGAGACATGAAAATCAGGGCCAGAACTTGGAAATTGAAAATCAAGGGGAAGATCAAACACTTCATTTGGAAGTGTATAACTGGGACCTTACCAGTTTGTACTAAGCTGTGTAGTAGAGGACTTGATATCGATCCCATTTGCCAGGTTTGCGTTGAGGTGGCAGAAACAATTGTTCATGTGTTTTGGCAGTGCAACATGGCTCAAAAGGTTTGGCAAGTAGCTCATGTCAGTTGGGAGTGCTTCTCCTTACCTGGAGCTTCATTTTCAGATTGGTGGTAGTCCATGTGTCCTTTGAGCTCAAATGCGATCGATGAAAACATGATACAACTAATTACTTATCTGCTATGGTAGTTGTGGAAATTCTGCAACCTGTGGGTATTCCAAAAGCAAAGACTCACTGAGCAGTGTCTTGTTAGACAAACTATCAATGGCAGGAATTTATTGTTGTTTAGTCATTGTGTGCAGGATTGATTTAGATGATCTAGGTCTGTTTAGACAGTTTTTCATCTTTATTGGCTTGTGTTTGGACTGTATTAGTGTAGGACTTCAGCTCTGTGCTGCCTATGCTTTCATTTGGCATTTAGACCTCGCTTGTGAGGTCTCCCATACCATNTTTCATTATAAATCTTAACGCTTTTTATGTTAATTATGTTTGAATTTTTTTTTTTCGAAACGAACAAATTATATTAATAAATTAAATTCTATATAGATATATTTATTATTTTTTTTATAATGTGCATATTATCTTCCTTTCCAAATTTTGTGCTTTGTATATATTATTCTCTTATGTGTTTTAAATAAAAATATTATAAATAAAACTAATGATGTACATAAATTAGTTTTCATAATTTAAAATAATATTATTAATTCACTTAGTTCTTTATTATAAATTGCTATATATTGTTCCTTTTCTTTAAACTTAAGCAAAATTATTTTTTTGTTGTTGTACATTTAGTTATTTTATCAAACACTCATGTACACTCATATAGCACACGATATTGTACTAATAAATGACTAGTACAATACCCGTACACTACATGGGTACTTGTTAAAAATATTTTTAAAATTAAATAATAATAATAACAACAATAATTGTTTAAAATTAAATATAAGTATTTATTAGGCTAATTTGAGGTTTTCATGGAAATTAATGAGCCCATTGAGAGCTTACAAAACAAATCAAGGTTATATTAGTCAATCAATATCATTACCAAAAGTTCTAATACAACTTAAAGTTATATTAGTCAAACTGTTATAGAATTACCAAGTTAATTTTTCAATATTTTTGGAATGTCCGAACCTAAAATTATTGATTTAGAATAATATAATTGTTTATCTAATCTAAATCAAACTACGAAACATGTTTTTTCGCCAAGTAAGATTCCAAAATATGTGAGATTGCCACTTAGGTTCAATGTATATTGAAATTTTATATAGGAGGATTTAAAATAAAAGATTTATTTACAACAAAAAGAGACGGTCCAAGTGCCCAACTATTTATAAAAGATGCAACAATTGTATAATCTCTAAAACTAAAGTGACACACATGTGGAGGAGTGGGATTTGAACCTACGCCCTTTCAGACCAGAACCTTAATCTGGCGCCTTAAGGGGTGATTGTTTATCAATTCACTCCAAAAAAAATCAATCAAAACTCAAATTTAACTCAACTTTAACTCAATTCCACTATTTTTAATATTATCAATATAATTAAATAACATCAACCAGTCATTCAACTAATCATTATTACACATCACATCAACTTTAATTCCCTATTCTTCCACTCACATAATTTTAACTAACTACTACTTCCAATCATTTTTCTCTTACTTTTACATCATATCAATTTTAATTATTTCATTTCAAGTATTACTTTAATATATCCACTAACAACTAATCATACCAATATTTTTTAAAATTAACTATAATTAAAAAAAAACCAATTAATTGCTAAATGAATTCATAAACAATCACCCCTTAGACCAACTCGGCCATCTCCACTTTTTGGAACTTAAAACTATTAAGTACAATTAAACTAATTAATAGTCAGAAATCAATAGCATTTCCATGGTTGATTGATATTTGATAATAATATCCATAAAATTTCCAGAAATTCCTCGCGATTCTACGCTTTCCCCAGTTTCCCTCCACAAAACATCATAGCTTCTGCGAGAGATATGGCGGTTGAGCTGAAACGTCTCGGCGGAGCCGACGCAGCGCCGTTTCAGTTACGGCGTTCTCTGAATCCACGCGTTGGACGATTGTCCTTTCAGTCTCCTCCCAATGCTCCTCGTCGGCTCATTACGCTGGCAGTTGTTAAGAGGAACCCAAAACGCCTGAAATACGCGACACCTCGCTTTCCTAAGGTCCGATTATGAACCTCGCCCTCGCGTCCCTGTTTATCACCAGCTTTTTTTGTACCGCTTCACTTTTTCTCGCCTCAGGAAGATGGATTGTTGAAGGTTGAAGTTGATCCGTCCGGGTCGGACTCTTGGAAACTTGACCCGGTTATTGAGCTCTTGAAGGAAGGGGCTGTAGGAGTTATTCCAACAGATACCGTGTATGTTAATTTTTCAATTTTTTTTTCCAGGTCTTTCCTGTTGAAGTATTTGTTTATTCTTGTTTTAGATTAGAATTATCTCTTCTATAGTAGGTAAGATAGCTGCAGTATGGACCTATTATTTGTTAACAAAAACTCATTGCCGGATCAGATAATTCAGGATTAGGATTATAATTTCTGTGACTGTGAAGTGTTAGATTCGATGCCTGAGTATTGACATTGGGAGATACTAACTCATTGCCGGATCAGATAATTCAGGATTAGGATTATAATTTCTGTGACTGTGAAGTGTTAGATTCGATGCCTGAGTATTGACATTGGGAGATACTAATCAGCATGACATAAGTTACGCCTAATGTCTCCAAGCAAATGAATTTTCTTGACTGCTTGTTATTTTAGATATATGATTTCTGATTGTCTGAGTTTTATATTGTTTGATGGGTTTCAATATTTGGTATTACTTCATGTTCTTTGCTCAGACAAAACTTAAACCAGATGAAGGTAGCTTTCTTAGTGAAGTTTAGCTTGTTTTGCTGGAAATATTTATACTGTGCAGACAAGCTCCGGGCCGACTTTAATTAGTTTTGGCACGACTGATTAGAAAAACACCTGAACAAGCTAGGTTTTGATTGGATTCTGAATTTTCCTTTGATGATAGGTATGCAATAGTTTGTGATCTGAGAAACAACTCTGCGGTTGAACGTCTGCGTAGGTAGGTATTCTTTATTTTTGTAGAAAATGGCAGTCACGTTGACGAAACAATTCTAAATCTTTTTGAGTCTTATTTCTTGTGACCAGTGTTATTTCTGTTTTGCAGAATAAAAGATGTAGAACCTTCAAAGGCAAGTTGTAAAATGTTATTTTGTTAACGCTTGGTATCTTTATGGGCCGTGCAATTCACCTAATTAAGTACCCGATGTGCTTTATCTTTCTTCCCTCTGAAAAAGGGACTTCCTCCCTTGAATTTGTGTCTATTTGCATTACAATCCTTGCAAATCTGCATGCTAATATGATAATCACTTTTGCAGCCTCTCAGTATATTATGTCGCTCATTCAAAGACATCGATACATACACAACAGGATTTCCCCGTGGCAATGACCAAGGTCTTAAAAACATTTTTCGAGCTGTTAAACAATGCCTGCCTGGTCCTGTAAGTGTCACTGAATGTAACATCTTGAATCTTTAACTTTTTCAATCAAAAATAATTTTTATGGATATGTCTGTACTCTGTACTGAGTTTCATAGGGGCTTTTTATATCTTTTCACTTTTCAGTTGAAAGGATTATGTATTTATGTATCTGCTTTGTTTATGCGAAATTATAGAAACTAAACTTCTCCTGTCACAGTATACTTTCATTTTGACTACAAGCAAAGAATTTCCGAAACATTGCATCCGATATGGGACTACAACTTCCAAGTATGCCTCAAGAAAGAATGTAGGTATTCGCATGCCAGATGATGCTGTGTGCAAGGCAATACTCGAGAAGATGGATGCGCCTTTAATATCCACAAGGTCAGCTGTGATGCGTGATTTAATTACTTAAATCTAGGCTTGTTTCTTTTTTTTTTTTGTTTATAATTTATTTATTTGATTTTTGGTTTGTTCAGTTATAGTGGTGTTATAACTGAAACACTAGAAGCAGTACAATTAATGGAATTTTAACTTCTAATGCTAATAATAAAAATATATTGATGATTTTAAATATTGTCTATAATGGAAATCATTTTTACCAATTCCAAAATTTCAACAAATAATTATTGTTCTTAAGATTGTTATAAATATAGATTATCGTCATATGGGGGGTATTCTTCTCCTTTTCAATGATTCTTTTCGAAGTCTCAGTTATGTATTCTTGGGTTATTACAAGTGTGTGTTTCAGTGTTTTATAAACCTCCGTTGATATTGTACACTTAAACTAGTTCCTTTTCATCAGTGTCAAGTCACCAAAGGAGGATGAGTGGATATTAGATCCTGTTGTAATAGCTGACGTGTATGGACCGGAGGTACAACAATATCTTGAACTTATTACTTATTTATGCAATTTTTTGCTAAACCAATCCATTTTTTTGTTCAAAACCTTAGATTTTTTTACAACCTGTTCTTGTGACTTCATTTTTCAATAATCTAGTATTTAAATAATTCAGAACCCAGACAAATTCTGCAGAATTATGTTCCTTCGCAACTAAATTGAGCCCTTCTGTCTCATAATAAATGTAGGGCCTTGATTTTGTTGTTGCTGCTGGGAATAGATTTGCTGATCCTTCTACCGTGGTAGACATGACAGGGAGTTCGCCACGAGTTATACGGCAGGGCAAGGTAAAATATGCGCTTTGCTCAAGAAAATAGTGCAATTATTACACAACCTTTTGTATGACTAATGGTTTAATCGATGTGACCCATATATCAAGAAATCAATAATTTACGGTTCGGTCGATACCACCCTTATGGGTGACACCCATATGAGCTAAAAGCTTGAAATCTGTCCCATTTAGCTAAATTAACCCTTTTAGTGAACTTTTTCCCTTTTTTTAAAAAAATAAAAAAAACCAGAAACTATGGTCACTTTTTTCAAAAAGGCAAACCACAGTTGCTTTTTCCATTTCACTTTGCACTTGACTTGAAACCCAAAGAACAACATCCATGGTAGAGGAAAAAAATTATCATATGCATTATCACCTTTGATTGTACGCATATTTGTATTTTAAGGAAAAAGAATTGCTATGCAACATCCTGAGGAAAAAAATAGCATACGCATTATCACCTTTGAGTGTACGCATATTTGTATTTTGACGGGAAAAGATTTGCAATGCTTGTCCGAATTTTTGGATGCATTTAGAGAAGACCAATTTTACAGAAGCAACTTTTATTTTTATTGGTAAGTGAAAGCTGCAAATGTATATCAATATTTTAATTTTTTTGTTTTTTTTTTGTTCTTTGAGTGAGTATAGAAGATTATATATTTGTTGTATCATTGTATGTAGGTAAGGAGCACCCTTTTGTACTACAAAACATATAGGGTTATAATGGTGAAGTGCTTATTCATACGGGTATTATGAGGTGATATCTTTTAAATCCGTGAGAAATTTGAAAGTAAACCATGGGTTGCCATGAAAATGAATAGCATGCATATCTACTCTAACACTACTGTCACTATGCACATGCTAAATATTTTAATGTTAAAAAAGTGATCATCGAACATTCTTGGCATTAAGGAACTGTAAATGAAAGAATTTGAACTTTCTTGTGAAGGTGTTAAGATGAAAGACATTATAGGAACAATATTCCTGACTATAAAAATCAATAATTAGAACAACTTGTATCGCAAGATTTGGAATTGCCCGGGAGAGAGAAGGGGACTCGAAAAGAGAAGGGGACTGGAAAGTGAGCAGATTTGTTGTGGAACACAATAATGAAATAATGATTCAGCCTACTAATCAAACAAAAACAAAAGATCATCACGCAATATCACACATGAAAAAAAAAATCTAACTTTTTATATGGTATGGTGAATGATGGAATTAATATTGTCAATGTTGTTTCTTTTATGGAAAAGAAGACTCATGGTGCATAAAACCTTTGGGTTTTACTAGATAGGATGCACATGATCATTTTTAGTCATCAGAAGAGGCATTCGAAAGTTTAAGATGGAGACAGTGCTACTTTGCTTCAATATTTTATAAAGTTAATAAGTTAATGGTGAAAATCATTTTTCTTACAGTGAACTTTTTATTGAGGGATCAAGGGATCATTTGTATAAGTTGATTATTAGTTTCTTGGTGATGTGCTATGAGTGGATACGACTTAAGAAACTAATAACTAAAATTTGAGTTGTGCTCTATTTGTCCGTATAAATCATCATAAAAAAATTGATTGATGTTTGGTCTAACGTTTTTGTTTGATGAGACGAAATGTTCATTTGAGTGGTTATTTTCAATGTTTTGTTATTCTATAATTGGAAACAACCCCAAGTTAGTATTTAATGATCAGTGTCAAGCTATGATGAATGCTACGATAAAATGTTCATACATTCGCATCGTCGTTTATGTGAGTACCACATTAATCAAAATCTAAATCAAAATGCTCATCCCATTTAGAAAGTTTGAATGATGATTCATAGTTTAAGAAATTCTGACATAAACGCATGACATTGTGATTTTGTAGATAATTTGAAACTACATGTGACAGATGGCGTCAAACTCATGTACAAAATCACCATTTTTCATAATTTCTTAGACAATTTCTTAAACTCTGAATCACCTTTCAAACTTCTTAAATGGGACCAACATTTGTCATAATTTCTTAAACTCTGAATCACTATTCAAACTTCTTAAATGGGATGAAACATTTTGATTGATGTGGTAGTGACATAAAGATAATGAGAATGTGTGAACACTTTATTGATAGCATTTATTATAGTTTGACATTGATAAGAAAATATAACTTTAGCTTTTTCTATTCATAGAATCAAAAAACGTAGAAAATAACTACGTCTCATTAGACAAAAACTCCAGGCTATACGTCAAAATTTGTTTTCTTATGGTGATTTATACCGACAAATGGAACACAAATCAAATTGTACTTATTTGTTTTGTAAGTGTATCAATTGATAGTACATAAAAAAACTCACAATTAAATGCACATCTATAATTTCTGAATAAAAAGTTCATGATCCGATTATCATCATTCAACTGTATATTTCAAAAAAATTGATTTTCAAAAACTCTGGTTCTATACCATGAGCTTTTTTTATGTAGAAGAAACAATATTGGCAACACTAATTTTGGCATTTACCATACCTTCTAAAGTTGATTTTTTGGCATGTGTGCTATTACATGATATGAGTTTGATCAAGTTGAATCATGATCGTGTTGCACAACAAATCTGCTCACTTTTCAATCCCTTTCTCTCCTTGTCAATCCCCTTCTCTCCTTCTCGCAACTCTAACTCTTGCTTTGCAATTTGTTCTAGTTATTGATTTTTTATAGTGAGGAATATTGCTCTTAGAATGTCTTTCATGTTTAGCAGAATATTCAAATTCTTTCATTTACAATTCCTTATTGTCTGAAAATATTGTTGATCACCTTTTTTTAACACAAACATTTAGCATGCACTCAGTAAATATGCATTTTAAATGCTCTTCACTGAAAATTGGTATTCTCTAAACGCATCTAAAAATTTGGGCGAGCATTACAATTTTTTTCCCTCAAAATAATGATATGCGTACACTCAATGCGTATTTTTTTCTCCTACAATGGATGTTGTTCTTCGGGTTTCACATCAAGTGCAAAAATGGGAAAAAACAATTATGGTTTGTCTATTTGAAAAAGTAACCATAGTTTGTTTTTGTTTTTCTTAAAGAAAAATTGGAAAAAAGCGGTTAATTCAGTAAAAGAGTTAATTGAGCTAAATGGAACGTGTCGAGCTTTGAGTCCATATGGGTGCCACCCATACGGGTGGTATCGAATTAACCATAACTTACACCATAAGGTTCATGAAAGCTACATTTCTCATTGTCCTTTTACTGAATCAATATTTGGTTTTGCTACAAGTGAATCTGTTATCACGAATGATGGGTTTCATAATTGCTTGACATAACTGTTTTCTTTTCCCTTTTCTTTAATTTTTCCACATGTTATTCTCGTCAGGGTCCCAAACAACCTTGGATGGATGCAGACGATGAAGAAGATTTTCATGTGAATGAAGATTAGACAACACATAATGCTGCCTAAATAGCAGTTGCTCTGACCTTGTGGATAATTTTTGTACAGCATTGAAATCAAGCCCATTTGGCCATCCTGTAAATTTGTATGGAATGCTATGTTATGTTGTCTGTATTATTTTGTACAATCATCTTTAGCCCCCATCACCAAAGTTTTATCAAACTCGAAGGATGAACAAAACTACTCGCCAGAAATACTGTGATTTGACTTGCTAATTTCTATTGCTTTAAAATCATGCAAGTGGATGGATAGAGTTGAAATCTTATGCAAGGTGTTGGTTACTTGCAGTTGGAAGAATGAATTAAGATGAGATTCCATTTTCAGTTGCATCCTAGTAAATTGTTGGGAATTGGCACTGCTTATGGGATGGGTATCTACGTATATTGACCTGCACTATTCATTTTAGAGGGAGGAGGTGTGATTGATCCATCATGTATTGTGGTAGTCGTTACTATGGCTGAGCATGATATTCGGATAATTTTGATCCCTATCATATAACAAGAATGGATTTGCATAAATTAAAATTGTGGAATTTGCGGATTTTTTGCTGAATTTAAGTGCGGAACTTAAATTGCGGAATCATTTCCAGCGAGGGTTCGCATAAAATAAATTGCAGAATTATTTCTAGCAGGAATCTACATAAATGAATGTGTGGAAAATAAATTGCAGAATTACTTCCAGCAAGGATTTTTTTTTTTTAAAATTAAAAACAAAAAATTAAAACAAAATAAAACACCTAAATTAAACCTAGGTCCGTATTGCAGCAAACAGAATTTACAAAGAAAAAAAGAGGAGACATAAAATAAAAATCTAAACTAAGCTTGTTCCTTCCTGAAGCGGTTCTTGATATTCTTGTACACCTTGGACCAGTCTTTGTTCTTCATATGGAGTATCACTTTTTGGTCGATCCAGCAGCCAAACCCACTTGCGATTGCGACATAGGCCATTTTTGTTAAGCCAACCAAAGATGTGACCAAAGCAACTACCACGGCTATGCCAGCCTCCCAAAGTTTGTAGGTGTTGTGTTTGTGTGTAGACTGTGTTTTTTCTTCTCTCCACTGGTGGGCATTTTTGTTTATTATTCTCCTTTTCAAAGCGTTTAGTGTGTGTTGTGGTAGGTAGGTTCTAGGCTACCTTTGAACAGTTCTTCCTACTATATTCAACGGTATAGCTGTTTCCTTCGACCGTGTGACTGTTTTAGTCGATTGTATGGCTGTGTTATAGTTTGTATGTTTGCATTTTATTATAAAATCTATCTTTTCGACAAAAAAAAAAGAAGTGTATCCAATAACATTATTCAATATGCATTTATTTTTCACAAAAGAAGCAAATAAAACACAATCGAAAAGCACCAGAAGAAGAGAACATTATTATTTATTAACGTTATTATTATAATAATAATATTAGTACTACCAAAATCAATTTCCACATGCTTACAGGCTCAGCATATGATATATTGGATTCATTATTCAATCCAATTATTAAATAAATCTATATATATATATATATAATAAAAATTAACATTTATCAAAAATAGTAAAAAGAAAAACTTAGAAACATTAATTTACAGGCCATTTTGGGATTTTTTTTTTTATTTATTAATCAAGAAATATTTAATGATGTCTTCAATTACGGATAATAAATATTTAAAGACGCCTTCAATCTCGGATACTCACTTTTTAATTTACAAACGTGAGCTTTGATGGGTTATATTCAAATCAATTTAATAGAATTTTATAAGAAAAAACGGGAGTAGATGCAGATCAACTTCATATCATGTGTTTTAGGAAAATAAAAAGGTGCATATTTTGAAAATTGATGTTACCTAACAATTGTGGATTCCTTTCTCTTTTGCTTTAAAAAATTGATGTCACCTTACAAATGCGGATTCTTTTTCTTTTTCTTAACCATTTTCTCGATCTTTCAGCAAATTAATTTCAAATCATTTTTTTTTTTGGGTAAAGTTTTGTTGAACAATCTCATTTCCCACAAAATTTTGGCAAAATCCGATTCTTACTATAATTTCAAATGATATACTTATCTATTAGATGTAAAATCGTTTATGAATACGGGATTAGATTTTTGGTTAAACCTAAGATGTAATTGGACATTAATAGATTTTGACCATTTATACTTATATAAAGAGCCATCCCATTTACTAGAATTAGTAAGAAGAAAAGTCAAAGATAATTAATTCATTCTATTTTCATCAATTAATTTTTATTTAATTGTTTTTCTCATGAAATCGGTACAAAAAAAGAAATCAAAGTCATAATGTTGTGTACAAGAAGGTGTTTAGTAATATATGATTGGTTCTTTGTCCAATACTATCTTATTGTATAATTTTTTTACGTATTATGAAATTTTTATTTAATATTGCATTTTATAATATAATATTCCCTAAATAAATATATCTCCTGCCTCGCACGGATCACGTACAATATATATCCCGTATATGTTTCATTATCCATGTATATAATTATAAGCCTGGATAAATAACTTTAAAATTGTTCAGCCGTGCATTGTTCTTAATTTTAATATAGTATATTACAATGATGAAGTGCATAAGTACTGTGCAATCATAATTGTCGCCTTAACGCACTCGAAACCCTGAATTTGAAAAACGAGGAAAGTATTGTAATAAAGGTGAAACCACAAGGGTATTTCTGCAAAACCACATGATATAAATAAGGAAAAATCTACCTTCTTCCTCCCTGTAACATCTCGAGTAATTCACAGCCAAGAAAACACAGGTGCGTACTTTCACTCTCTAAACTCTACAGTTTGAGCTCACGATCCCCAAACTTACGGCTCCTTTTACACCGGATTTTTTTTCCGGCTAATCCGTTTGAATCTGTTTCGTTTGTTTTCTTTGTGGAAGTTGATCTTGTTGAATCGAGATTATTTACTTACTTAAAAAGCATTTCATGAAAAAATGAATGTATTATGTATTTGCGTGTTTTCTCGATTTGAAATGATAGTCATTTGGATCGGTACTTGATTTGCCCTAATGCTGGTTTATTTTGATTGAGAAGTGTGGAAATGTGACATTAATGGCAATGCCTCAACTATTGCTTTCCTTGTGTGTTAGTTTTTCTTTGTCCTTTGAAAAAGCGTTTTGGTCTCTAATAAACCCTCGGAAGACTCGTGCTCAGGGGATGTTAGGTGGTTGAGGAATTGGTATGTGTTTAATTTCTGAAAAGCCGGAATGAGATATCCGTGAGCCTGCAGATCATCTCATCTCCACTTCGATTTTCTTTTAATTGATTTTTGTTGCTCGTAGACAGATTAGTTATTTGCCTCAAGGTTTCTATATGATAAATGATTAGGTGTGAGAGCTTGATTTTTTATTTACTATATTTGTATATCTGCATTTCATGTGAAGCTTGCTACTTTTATTATGGAAACAATTAATATCTATACTAGTTGACATGTTTTCAGTTCAAGAATCTCAGTTAATGCGGGTGTATTTGGGTTCCTTTAAAATGCATCCTCTATATCGTTCTTCTTTCTTCCAGCAACAGATTGTTCCATTGTATAGCACATTGATTATCTTGTGAGAAAATATATTCTTTTCTATTTTATTCAAGGTTTTGCTAGCATGGAGAATAGCAACAGCTTCTGGCAGTTGGGACATGAACTCAGGGGACAGTCAAAAGTCACGGATGAACACAAATGGCTGGTGGCTGCTTCCAAGCTGGCTGAGCAGACAAGGTCAAAGCCTGAACGGAGAATTAACCTTGACCTCTCTAAGGGCCCCACTGAAATGCAACCTAGGGACAATCTTGGATTTCAGGAAGACAACAAGTTCGACAATTTCAACCTCAGCATGTTGAACTTGGGCCCCAGGCTGAATGAGAATTTGAGCAAAGGTCCGTTTAGGAATGACATTTACAATATGAATGCAGTTTTTCAGAATCCCAATTTGAACTCCATGGGAAATATTACCGGAAGCAAGCATAGCAAGGAGCCCAATAACAACACTAACAGCAAGGACGACAGCCAAAATGCACTAGATAAGAGGTTTAAGACCTTGCCTGCTGCAGAGATGCTCCCGAGGAATGAGGTCCTTGGTGGGTATATCTTTGTCTGCAACAATGACACAATGCAGGAAGATTTAAAGAGGCAGCTCTTTGGTAACTATACGTTCTCCTTTTGAGATTAGCATATGTTGATGGAGCTTAGATTAAGATATTTTCTGTTTCTTTTTCCTCTCTCTCTCTCTCTCTTTTTTTTTTTTTCACTTTTTGTACTTGATTTATGAATTTTCTAGGTTCTAACTGTTATTTATGTGAAAATTTTGATTTCTTGTCACACACTCGCTCTCTATGCTGAATTTTATGTGTGTTGGGTAGGTTTGCCTCCGAGATATAGGGACTCTGTAAGGGCAATAACACCTGGTTTACCTCTTTTCCTCTACAACTACACCACTCACCAGTTGCATGGTATTTTTGAGGTACGTTTTGTCTGTTGAGTTTCTTTTAATCACCCTGACCGAGTCAGTTGTAGATAAGCAGCATTATCATGGCTAGTGAGCCTAATTAAATTAATTGGTTGCTATTGTTTAGTCAGATTATGTGAGCCTTGAATGTTAACATTCCATTTTTTTTAGTATTTTTTTCTTGCCGATCGCTTTTCGGGTGAAAGTTAACCCACTGGTAATTATGTTTTCTAATCTGATTAATAATCACAGAAGATTCTGATTATGTTCACAAGCACGCGGCTTTAACTTTTCCACATTTGTTCCTTTGACCAACTAATTTTCTGTGAAAGTTATTCCAATCTTGTAATTATGTTTTCTGATTATTGAATTTGAAAATTTTAATTCTGTGCATAAGCATGCAACTTTAATTTTCCTCTCCCTTTCTCGTTTTCAAAATTTTTTCTTGACCAATATCTTTTCTTTATATTGTTTCTGATTAACAAGCGTGGAATATTCTAATTATGTGCACAACTTTGCGACCTTTACTTCCACACACATAATCCAACTTCAATTAGTATCATAAGAAATCAGTTATATCCTTTAATATCTGCTCAACAAACGCCTTTTAGACGGCTTCAACACTTTCATGCACAGGCAACAAGTTTTGGTGGTTCCAACATTGATCCTACTGCCTGGGAAGACAAAAAGTGCAAAGGCGAGTCAAGGTTCCCTGCTCAGGTAAACTTATTTTTGTCTACTGTAGTGTCTTACTGTTAGTACTCGCCGCATGCTTAAATATTTTGCGATGACTGTTGACTAGCTATCCATCTGATATTTTCAAACAGGTAAGAACTAGTGTTAGAAAAATGTGCAAGCCTCTAGAGGAGGATGCATTTAGGCCTGTTTTGCATCATTATGATGGCCCTAAGTTCCGTCTCGAGCTCTCTGTACCCGAGGTTAGTCTTGATATAAAACATTGCTGAGTCATAAGAGAAATTCTTTAATGTTTCTTTGAATCCCGGGTTAATGGTCTTAAAATTTTGTGGTATTTCAGACCTTGGACTTGCTAGACCTTTGCGAACAAGCTGGGAATGTGTAAGATGTTGTTGCTCGACGTTAGGGTCAGCTCAACATTAAAAAATTAAAGTTATTCTATGATGTACGAGTATGATGTAGTTTTGGTGGATCATTGTGTTGATTTTCACAAATTCTCCTTCGAGCAAAAGCTTGAGAGGAAACTCTGGCTGGAGAGTTCTTGACAGCAGTTTGGCTTCTCTCTAGTCAAAAAATGTAATTTAGTTGTCAAGACGCTTGAGAGTAGCTTCACCACAATTTAGCTGTGTAATATTATTGCAAACTTGTAAGCAACAAGGTGGCTTGGGCAAGGTCGATGCAATATGACCGGCCAACCTAATTGAAAGTTGCAATGTCTGCTTTATCTGCCTTTTTTAAACATATGCTTATCTTGCTTCTGTTATGTTTTTCATCATGACGTTCGTATGCGTGCCAGGCGTTGGTAGTTTTAAATTTCTTGATTCCCATTTTAATTCTGAGTAGAGCTCTTGTCTTCCATGGTAATGGACTTCAATGATAACACTATACTCCAATTCCATCATGTATGCCCATTCCAATTGACTTAAGGCTTCAAGCCTGGGCATCCTTTTGAAATAGTTTCTCTTTGAGAACACACTAGACTATTAGTTTTGCACATTATACAAGTGTATATAAAAAAACATGCAAATAGATTCCGGACTAATCACCGTGCGACTGTCTCACGTTCCGAGGAGGGATGGTTCGAGGTAAGTCCACAACCTCCGAGATTTTATGTTTGAATTAGGAAAATTAGGGTATAAGGGTAGTTTCACGTCTAAGTACTTTAATTTCAATCATTACCTAGTTATATCCGACTACAATGAGGCGTGCCTCAGGACTTCCGTGAACTTTAATTTCAATCATTACCTAGTTATATCCGACTACAATGAGGCGTGCCTCAGGACTTCCGTGAACGTCTATGGGTGCACTGCCCGGGTGTTCAAGTACACACCTGATTTCTCCCCGTCGGCTGAGGCACGTATTGCTCCTGTGTGGTAATCTTTTTTGAAAATTTTGAATTTTTTTAAAATTACTAAACTTGGTAATCTTTTTTGAATTTTTATAAAAAAAACCCGTCTCTAAAAATCAATTAATCAATTTACGGTATAAAATTGACAAAATTAATATATCCAATTTTGGTAATAAAGTGGACGATTTTATTTGAAATATCTGGTTACCATTTTTATTTTTGGTAGGAATTGTGCTATTATTAATAAATGTCTGTATTTATGGTATAAAGTGGGCGATTTTATTTTGGTATGAAATGTCCGAACTTAAATGGTATGAATTTTGTTTGGTGTGGATAGGAGTATACTTGAAAATTTTGAAAACACAAAAAATAGTATGAATTTATTTGGTATAAGTATGAAAGTCAAAATTTTAGGTTGATATATGATTTTCAAATTTTAACATATTCTCATAATAAATTGCTATAAGATATTGATGATAATTAGGTAAATTGATATATATATATATATATATATATATATATTTGTCTTGAAAATCAGAAAGATCTTTGAACAAATATTGTTTAATAAAATTTAAAATTTGTAATTTAATTCTATAGAGCTAGTTGATAAATTTGAACGACATGGTAACTGAAAATATTATTCATAACTTAGTAGTCAATATTAACTTAGACGTAAATGGAATAATCAATTATTTATAGTTTAATAAATTACTCAACTACTTAAATTCTTCTATTTGGATAACTTATACAAAAATAATTCATTTTAATTAATGAAAGAATATAAGTTTTATAATTATACTTATTATTCACATATATTTTTAAATATATGATAAAAATCTATCAAAATAATTATTTTATGAAATCACATTGTAGTCAAATCGAATTTCTGAAAAAAAAAATTAAAATGCACTTATTTTGAAATGAATATAATATAATTTATTATCAGTTATGTGCACCGTATGAGTTGTGTACTAAATCTAAGTAAACATGTTTTATATAATTTTTACACAATAGAAAATAAATATAATATTTTTAATAATTAATATAGATAAATTGTATTACATATTAATTTCATATTGTTAATTTATGAATAATATTTAATGGAAATTTTTAATTTATAATATAATATTCGTGACTTAAGAGTTGTAGGCAGATAGTTCGGGTACACTTTGAACAGACTAAAGAAGCTATCGCAAGTATAAAATGACTCCAATTTAAAGTTGGATTTTATTCTTCTCATGTGGAGGACATTAGAACCGTCGTTACACAATTCACCCCAATCGCAAATTTACTTTGTCGTTTCAATGGCGTTCGAATTTCATCCTCAAGCTTGCTTGTTTGAACATCATCATCATCATCTCCCCCTTGGATGCATATATCTAAGGTTCTCTTTCATCTATTAATTATTACTATTTATGTAAAAAAAATTGTAGTAAATTGCCTAATTTGGGGCCTGGAACCCTTCAATGCGGAGCCTCATCGCTCAACCTTGACTTCATCTTTCGTTACGGCCCGTCGAGTCTTCTACAAAGGGAATCGCGGACTGGTTCTAATTGTGCAGATACTTGTTTCAGTCATGGGTTTGATTGAAAATCCCAAAGAGCAGTACATGAAATATTTTATGTGAGCACACAATCACTTGTGAAATATTTTACAAGTTTCTCGCGGTGGTTTGATTAAAATGAGGAAATGCTTTTCGTTTTTTTCTTTTTTTTTTGCCTCATTACAGGTTATATTTCCTTGTCTCCATATCTGTTTGTTACTGTTTATCGGGATAAATAGGTGCTGGTTTTGCCATTGTTCTTTAGTAGTCCCCTCATGAATAAAGCCATTTTGTTGCTTTGATTGCCTTCTATTTTGTTCCTTCAAAATGGCCCTTTGGTTCACACTGTCTGCAATTTAAAGTGTGCTGGCAACAGGGCTTTCATGAGAAAGATTTGGAAGGAGAAAGGAGTTGGATGCCACATGGTGGCTATAGGAAATGGTTAGTCCGTGTTCTGATATATTTCGGGTGTCTGTGAGTAATGTTTCCCTGAGAAAAATTTTCCATCTGTTCGATATATAATAAATATTAATCAAAGTGCAAGGATATAAGAAAGAAATCAGGGAACTATATATTTTGCAAAGACGGTTCTGATTCATTTCATATTATCGGACACATTTTTGTATTCTTATGAACTCATCTTTACTATCCAGTTTTCTTTTCTTTGCTTTCCTTTTGGTTTCGGGTTTGCACTTCAATTCATATGTATGTGCATATGTTTTGCAGCTGTTTGAGGTGGGGCCAAATTAGCAAGTGTACTTGAACTGATTGAATGTCCAAGTTATCACATATATCACCACTTGGAGGAAAACATGTAGAATTCGAAAGCATTGAGAACTGCAAGGTAAACTTCACAGCTGTTCGCTCCTTATCATATTATTTTCTCCATGGGTTTTGAGAAAGTTTCACTTAGCCTGAGCTATTGATGTTATTGCTATTGCAGGAAGAGAATGTGGGCCGATGTAAAGCATCAATCCCGTTAAGTCAGGCCATGAACCCAGAAGCCGATGCTTTGCTAGCCCACAAGATGAATGGTGAGGTACTAATATGAACTAAACTTCTTTATGAATTTCTTATCCCAATTATATCCTGTGTCTAAACCTCTTGTTTCCATTTGCTATTCAAAGACACGGATTCCCACTGGTGTGATAGTCGCTGATGTTATTGGCAACGTTCTGTGAAATGGCTCGACTCCATCAGCATTATCCAATGCGAATAAGAGGTGAGACAAAAATTTTAACAGTATTTTTCCAATTCCGTTGAAAAAAATCATTCTGTTTCATTTGGTTTGATCTGATTTTTCAAATCTTTTTATGCAAAAGGATTACAGTTCTGTTTTTTGGTCAATCGTTTTCAGGTGGATTAGGTGGAAGTGTGCAGCTTGAAAAGGGGAAGTCATTTGGAACTTGAGAGGGATATTAAACAACTTATGGTGTCACATTCATGTTCAGATTGATCATGTAAATATATAGGTACGGATATACCTTTCCTACCATCCAACATGAAGATTAATCAAATTTCTCTGTTTTTCATGTCCAATTGAAAAACAAATATGATATGAAATGCTGCAATTTTCCAATCTCTCACTGACTGGGATTAACTTTGAAGAGACAAATTAGAATTACATATATGGAAATTTCTCTACTCCTCCCTACATACGACATAGTTTAAACGTTTGCTCTGTGCCAGATCTTGAGCTCAGTTTGTCGATTAATATAGCCTTTTATCTGCACATTCTTGTTCCTGTTGTACGATTTCTGGAATGGTATCGAGGGCATTACAGATTGACGTGATCTTAATGCTATTATAAATACATGTGATGTCTACTTCCATAATCAGCACCCAACAGTTGCAAGTTTCAGTTTTCATTAATCTGTAATTTGAGAATATATAAAAAGCAATACATAATGCATACACACACACCATAAGCAGCACACTAAACTACATTACGCAGTTCAAAATTTTAGAATCCTAGTAAACCATCAAATTAATTATTCATGAAATGAAATTGCCAGTCATCGTTGATTATGTGTACATAACAACTTATGACTCAACGATTGCATACATGTTCACAACTTGCAGACTCACAAAGCTTAAAAATTAATCAATCACACCAACATATCAAAAAGACGCAGACAAACAATAAACACCAGTTAAACCACATTATCAAAATCACCACAAACTAATACTAAGAAACTAACACTGAAAAACAATATAAATCAATTAGTAAGAAAAATCACTAATCCAAACATCACATGTAGCCTTGACAAGAAGACAACAAACCTTCTGTTCCTTTCTGTCTCTGTTCACAGTCCCCACAGACACACAGCTCTGAGTCAAGCCATCATAACCGAACAGTTGAGTATAAAGTGGCTAAGCCGATTCCCCCCTCCGTCCAGCCGCCTCCACCTCATCTCCCCACTCTCCAAATTTGGCCTGCACGTGTAGATCGCCATGTACCCGCACGAATCCTCGCTTGCCCCAATCACCAACAGCTCGTCCCCCAACGACTTGAACGCCACCCCCCACCCCCTATTACAATCCGCCCTCAGCGGGACCCGTCCCAGCCCCCTCCACTCATTCTCACCCTTCAAATACACCTTCAACTGATTAGTCGCCGCCTCCAGCGAGTAGAGCTCGTTCTCCACCACCGCCAGCAGCGGCGGCGAGTGCGACGACCTCACCGGATCGTCTCTCACCAATCCCGGTATCACTTCCCATCTCCTCTTCTCCTCGTCGAAAACTTCCCCACACGTAAGCTCCCCTTCCTCCTCGTTCCTCCCACCCGCCACGTAAAACCTCCCGTCCATACAAAAACCCGCGCACAGTTTCCTCTTCCTAATCATCCTCGGGAGCGCGCGCCACGTCATCGTCTCCGGGTCGTAAACCTCGGCCGCGTCGAACACGCCCTCCCCCGGGACGGTGCCCATGCCGCCCGCAACGTAGGCGCGGCCGCCGCAGGTGGCGGAGGCGAAGAGGCACCTCGGGGAGAGCATCGGGGGCCCGCGGGCCCAGTGGCCGGCCGCCAGGTCGTAGCGCCAGATGGCGAGGCCGGAGATCTCGCGTCCGGAGACGAGGAGGTGGGTGCCGGCGCAGAAGGACTCCTTGTCTCCCGAGAGGAAGCAGGGGTCGGAGGGGAGAGGGGGGAGCTTGCGGCGGGAGTGGGAGTTGAAGTGGCGGTCGAAGGACCACCAGCGGGGCTCGCCGCTGGCGAGCATGAAGACGGAGGGCTCGAGGAAGTTGATGTGTTTTCGGATGCGGTAGAGGTCGCCGGATTTGAGGAGGGAGAGGGAGCGCTTGTTGACGAGGGTGAGCTTCCAGTGGTCGGAGGTCGGGAAGCGGGCGAGGATGAGGGACTCGAGCTCGTAGCTGAGGGACGGGGAATAATGATAATCTGCATCCTGAGGTTCGTTGTCGTCGACTCGGGGCATTTTGGTCTTTTTCGTGATGGTGTCGGAATCTTCTGCTGGTTCAGGCATGGGTTGGGCGATTTTGAGGGGAAGAGTTATCTGGAATGTTTTCATCTTGTGAGGATTATAATTGTGGAAATGGGGAATGACTAAACATTCAGGGGCATATGATTCAAGTTCTAAGATGTGCATGAATAGATTAAATGCAAGAACTAGAACAATTCTTTATTTGAGAGACACTGGGAAATGGAACTTTCTTTGTATTGCTGCATATGTCAAAAACATCTTGAGATAAAGATGAAATAATAAACATAGCTTTTGGTGCCAATTCATGAAAAAATATTACAAGGAAAAAGTAATGAAAGTGCACCCATCACATATGCATTATTATAGCACAGTTTGTGATCAAGTGCAGATAGCAATCAACTCTGATGGGTAATTTAGATTGAAGGAAAGCTACATTATTTAGTTAGAAAACAGTATTGACAAAAGAGAGACATCATATAATGCACTCAACACGTCCCTGAACCATAAACCTGCAAATCCAAGAAATTAATCAAACAGCGCATAGAATCTAGAAAATCACAACTTCCCATATCTTGAAACCAAACTTGGTTTTTCACTTACATGAGTATAACAAGAACATATTGTAGTGGATAAATGAATTAAAAACTAAACATCAAACTAAAGACTGACAAATCATGACAGCAAATAACAAAAGAACTTACAGATGTCTCAACTCTGAGGAGTTTCATGAGAAACCAAGTCTCATGTGTAGTGCACAAAACCCTTCATATAGAGCAGTAGTTGTAGCAGTGAAAAGATGAACACACACCAAAGCTTTTACTCTCATAGGCGACAAATGAANAAAAAAAAAAAAAAAAAGAAAAGTTATTGCGGGCATTGAGGCAAGAGGGGGGAATATTGTAATACAAGAAAAAAGGGATTGGATTCCTCAATGAATGGGTCCCCTTATTGGCTCAAGGGCTACTAGTAGACTATAGTATAGTATCACCAAATTATTAAAAATCTCTAATACACTGAATCCATCCTTGATGTGGAGAAAGCAGGTGGATTTTTTTTTTTTTTTTTTNTATTTCCATTTTTATATATATTTTACAAAAAGATATATTTACATGAAAAAAATAATGGGAGAGAAAAAGAGGATTCCGACTCTGTGTTGCTGCTGACTGCTGGGTGCTGACTTGCTGGTCTTTTTGCTTATTACTTCCTTCTGTGCACTTGAATAATTATGTTTGTTTTTTCAAATGGTAGTGATGGTGGAATTTTCAACATTCAATCTTCAATGTACAGTAGATGGAATATTAATTGTAAAATCGCTTTCTTTTACCTTTAATTTTTAATTTTATATATTTACTTTTATTTTTATTAGTTTTTGTTGGCAGTGGAATAATCCCATCAAATCTTTGAATGGAATGGAATAATAAACACGCGTCAACAGGAATCATCTTTTTACGTTGGCATGAAAAATGGTTTATGTTATCTGACTGAATTTTCTTGCAGATCAGAGTCGTTGGAAAAATGATATAGATGTCCTCTGTTGACGATTAGATCCGTTGTATTTTTTTCTTTGGCAAGTGAGAAAAGAAGTAAAGATGTCTCTGTATGAGATGGTTCGAGATTTGTCTTGTACAAGTTTTTCTTCTTAGTACAATCGGGAATAAATTTTATGTCGGAGAATCCAATTCCTAATAATAGAAAAAAATAACTGAGAAATTTACCTAGGATAAGTCCAAATGCGTTTTTAATTGAATAAAAACGAAATATATATTTTATTAGCAAAATTATTTGCATATAAACGAAAAGGACACCAACAGTTTCATACTTTCCCAATTTTCAATGAAGGTATGTTTGAAATATTTATGGAGAGTGATAGATTTCGTAAGATTTTATTTGAAGATTAATCGTCTTTATTCTATTCAATTTATTCACGGTTGACAGATTTTGTAAGATTTTATGTTGAAGATTAATCGTCTTCATTCTATTCAATTTCTTCACGGTTCCAAAAAGAATACAATAACATTCATAAAATTCATTAGTCTTCCCTTAAGAAACTAAGAACACCTTTAGAAATCAAAATTAATCTTCCAATTCAATTTCTAAGTGCACTCGAAGAAATATGGAGCTCCATGGTCGCCGGAGGCCGAGAGGTCAAGAGTTTGTGAACAACATCGACGGTCGGTGGAGTCCGACTTGACGGGGAGCGCAGTGAGTCACGCCACTTGCGGCAGAGTGACAAGAGATGTGGGAACAGTGTGACAACTAGAATGAGGAGTTCCGTTGAGCATCGACCATTGAAGAAGGCGGCCGAGAGGTCTGCGCATTACACCGACGATCGGCGTGACCGGAGATGTCGGAGCGGCGCGGAGACTGGAATGTGGAGATCCCTCGAACAGCACGGCTACATCTCTGACACCGTCGACATATTATTACTGACGGAGACGTAGCACCGACAGTGTGGGGGCTTTAACCTGATCTGATCAAACCGTCAACTTAAAAAGCTGAAAGGGTCTCCGTGGATGCTAACACCGCCTATGAGCCGCCGCAAGCTTATTCTGTAGTCCGAAGACGAAAACAAACTTAATTGATGTTTTTTCGATGGTTTGATTTTGGTGTAATTTTTTTTTTTCATGGTTTTTTATTGTAGTTTACTTTATATATGGTTTATGATGTCTTAGTCTTTGGGAGAAATACTTTCAGATGTTTTGATATATTTATGTTGTGGAAGATTTCAATATGTATTTGCCGTTTAGTTATAGTTTATGTTTGATATGTTAACAGAATTTTTTTAGCGATGTCACGATATCTGATAACATAAACTTGTTATAAAATACAAATGAATTAAACACAAACTTACAGATAGGTGATGTTAAGCAGTGAATGAACAAAATGACATCACATTTAGGTGTAGTGATATGATCACACGAATTGCATATGGACATGGAAGTTTATCAATTTTGAAGCAATTGCAGGTGTAGGTCTTTAACTCTAAATTTACAACATGTATTCCATTCGAATAATACCTTGTAAACTTTGTCTCTGGCCTTCTAAACATGTTCACGTCACGTCATATCCCGTTTATATAATGTTTAGTAGTGATCCATTCTCACCATCATCAAAGGGTATGGCCTTGATGCTTTCCTCATAGAAGAAAACGAAGCTCCTTCTAAGTTCACAATCAAGGAGAACAATGAGGAGGTTATAAATCTAAATTTTCTAGATCAACTTCTTGCATTATGGCTCCTTTCATCTCTATCAGAGAGCATCTTTATTCTCACTGTTGACCTTAACTAATCTTGTGAGACATGAATCACTTGAAGTCTATTTTTCAATCCAAACACTGGCTAAACAAATGTAGTACAAGCTGCAACTTCAAACATTGAAGAAAGAAAGTATGTCTATGAGAGAATATCTCAAAAGATGAAATCATGCTTTGATGTCCTAGCATTCACTAGAGTCATGGTATCTCCCACAGATCAGATCCTCCACATATTGGCAGGTTTAGGGTCAGAATACAATCCAGTGATGGTCAATGTTATCTCTAGACCAGAAGCATTTTGTAAGGGAGATGTGGAAGCCTTACTCCTCAGCTATGAGTCAACATGTGAAGCTACTCAAACAATCACCTTCAACAATGAAGGCTCTTGGCCTACTATAAATTTGTGACTCAATCTCCTCAAGGAAGCTTCAACAACTTCAAAGGTAATCATGCCAATTTCAAAGGTAGAGACAACATAAATAATCGAGGTGGTTACAAAGAAAGAGGAGAAATCAAACCTATTTGTCAAGTGTGTCAAGTCCCAAACCGCACAGCTGATACGTGTTGGTATAGGTTTGATCAAAACTATGGCTGAAACAGTGGTTAAAACCAACAGAATGTGACTCAATGCAATATGATGAGACATCATTAGTTCCCAGCTCAACTTCATTAGTTCAAGACTTGACCTCAGAATATATTGTTACCCTGATACTGGTGCATCAATATTTCATGTCTCAAGTGATTTCAGCATCATTCAAGCTCCTTCTAAGTATTTGGAGAACAACAAGGTTCAGATGACTGATGTAGCAAATTTATGCATTGTTCATTATGGTAACACTCATTAAAAAGCATCACATATAAAGCCTTCATTCTAAAGAACCTTCTTCATATACCTTCAGTCACTAAGAACCTCATTAGTGTATCTCAACTTGCCTCTGATAATACAGTTTACTTTGAATTTCATCCTTTATTTTGTCTTGTCAAGTATCAAGTAACTCAGGACATTTTACTCAAGGGAGTTATTAGAGATGACCTTTATCAATTCAAGCTTCAGCCCACTAGAAATAAGAGTCAATCAGTTCAATCCGATTTTTCGCTGTAGGGCATCGTCTGAACCTCAGAGTCAATTGGGCAGTCGGACTATCTTCGGGATTGCTGAATCAAGCCTCGGGATCGCCTAATCACGTGTGGTCTGGGTGCTGCTTGCGTCTCAGTCGCTGCGTGCGCGTATTGCGTGTACGTCGAGCGCTGATGATGCGGATCATTAGGCACTTGAGAGATTCTTGCGGGTCTGGGCGTCGCTGTGTAGGTCGTCACCGAGGATCTTGCGAGTCTACGCAATTGTCGCCAGGTGGAGCGCAGTCGAACAGGCGTTGCTGGGCACGGATCGCGTCAGTCAGTGGCTGGGAGCTGGTACGACACTGGAACCGCTGCGGTTGGCCTAGTGCTGCTCGTGATTGTTCTCACGGATAAATAAATTCACCAGGAACTCGAAAAACTATACCTCACGATCTTCTGATGTATTACCTCCACACCTACTTCGAGTAATCTTGGTGGTGCGACTAAATGAAACTCCCAAAACCTCCTAATATATAAAACTCAATTTTGACTCTCTTTTGAAGACTAAAAATCGGATCTCATGTGTGTGTAGGAGGAGTGGGGATTGATATTTATAGACTACAATAGGGACCCTAAGGAAAAGCTAAATATAGGTTTTTCCAAATAGGAATAGAAGACCTTATGTCTTTCAACTTGTTAACCTTCTAGAAGTTCTTATGTCTTTCAACTTGTTAACATTCTAGAAGACTGTTGAGTAGATTTAAGCGGGATAGGT